AGTTAGGATGGGGGGAGGGTCTCAGAAGGGGGCAGTCAGGGGACAGGTAGGGGATAGGGTACTAGGGGCAGTCAGGGGACAAGGAGCAGGGAGGCTTAGGTGGGGGTGGAGTCCTGGGGGGCAGTTAGGGGCAGGGGTCCCAGGAGGGAGCAGTCAGGGGACAAGGAGTGGGGGGGAGGGTTGGGGGTTCTGAGGGGGGCGGGAAGTGGGAGGGAGTGGAAGGGGCAGGGGCAGGGCTAGGGCAGGATGGGGCGGTGTCAACAATTGGGGGGGTGTCAATGTAAGATACGCAACTTCAGCTGCAGGAATACCGTAGCTGAAGTCGACGTATCTTATTCCGACTTCCCGCGCCGTGAGGATGGGAGGTATCGACGGCCGCGGCTCCCCCGTCGACTCCGCTACCGCGCTCACTCTGGTGGAGTTCCGGAGTCGACGAGGAGCGCGTTCGGGGATAGATCACTACCCGCCGATACGGCAGGTAGTCTGGACGTACCCTAATATCTGCATTTCTGAGAAAGTCAGTAGCAGGACCAAGGAACAGAACCTCCTCCCAAGTAGTCCTTCTGTTACCCTGACTCGCTGTGTAGGCTTATGCAAGTTCCTTCTCTTCTCTGTGCCTCAATTTTGTCATCTGTACAATGGAAACAACAATACCCCCTGCACTGGGGTGGGATGGGGGAGAGATTCATGAAGAGTCATTAGGTAATGTTACAAATTCCCCAGCCAATCACCTGTTCCCAGAAGTCCAACATCTTCCCTCCTATTCATTACAGAGAGGAGCATGTTACAAATATACCTGAAAGATCCCAAAGGATCTCACAGCTCTTCACACAAATCTATTGAAATGTAGCCATTTCTGGAGCAGAAGGGAGTTTGGCCAAGGACACCGGGGCAAACAATTCCAACTCTCACAGAAATGCCCTGGGATGTTTCATGCTTCTGCACAGTCCACAGGGTCTCTGGTTTCAAGGCCCCATCTGAACATCACACATACAGCAAAGCGCATGAAGCTAGGTTAGCCACTGTGACAAGGATACAAGACTGATCTGAATCATCTGAGATCTAAACTGCTGCTTCCAGCCCATCCAAGGCTTTGAAAGCCTACGCTGAAGCCAGGAATCCATCCCATTCAGTGGATTACAACTCTTGCAAGCAGGCAACTGTGGGTACCGCTGATCCAGACCTGCATCTAGACCTGCTCAACTGTAAGGAGTGAAAGTTTATAAACTGCCACAATCTCAAACAAAGTTGACAAGGAAAGGTGCAAAAGTGAGGCAAAGACTGAATTAGTCCAAACAAAAGGGCCTGTTGATATAACTCAAGGACTGTGTTAAGATCATGCTTGGTAAACAAAAAAAAAGTGTGGAACTGGAAACTAGTGAACCAAAAATCAGTGTGTTGGAAACTAGGCCTAACTGGTGAGCAAAATAATGAGGGGATGGGCTATTCTGTCCATCACATCCCTTCTGGAGTCCTTGAAGAAAGAAACTTTGAGAAGAATTGGCTACTGGAACGAGCTTCACCATCATGGCTGCCACTGCCACCCCCATTGTCTCCTGGGTACCTGGGCCTTCATCATCCTAATCCTGAGGGGTGTCTTGACCAGACAGAGCCAAAAAGGGAGCCAGACGGCATTAGGGTTGTCAACCCTCCAGGACTGTCCTGGAGTCTTCAGGAATTAAAGATTATGCCATGTGATGAAAGATCCAATCAAAACTGGCAACCCTAGACAACATTTCCACCTCCACCAGCTCTGGCTGAATCCCAACCACTATATGGGATGTGAGACTGTCTCCCCTTACCACCTCCCTTCTCCCCATGTGTCCTTTTCCTTCCCTATCTTATTTCTTCTCTTTCTTATCTCTCCCCTTCTCTCTAGTGAGAGTTTAGCCTAGCCAGCCAAGACTGCATATTTTGCAACACTGCTGTAGGCCTGTGACCTGAAAGAGGCAGCAAAAATCAATGCCCTGAAAAGCCCAGTGCTGGTACAAGTTTGCCAGGTCTCAGAGTGGCTGATAAGACCGTATGTCATTCCTGCGTTTCCCCAGCAGTGAGATTGCAAGTGAAAGTCAATATTAGAGATAGACACTGCATTTTCTGTCTTTGCTGTTCTTTTCTCTCCCCTTTTATGTGTGTGGGTCTTGTTTTGTCTTCTAGGAAAGGGGATGGGACTTTAACTACAGTTAAGCCAATGACAGCTCCAGCCCATCTCAACTACCTTCTACTCTTTTTCCCAAAAGGACAATTACTACCACCTAAAAGACTGTGAAAAAAAGGTTTTTTCCCCTTCTAAAAGCTCTCTCCAGCTAAAGGGAACAAGGGATGTTAAAATGAAATCCTTATTTAATACTTTACATTTCAAATGCTTTAACAGTTTTTCCTTCTTTTCTGTATCTTTAATAAAAGGCTAAAATTATGTTTAATGGTGTGTTTGCCCTGGTGCTAAGTAGACTAAGATCTCGGTATACCAGATCACAAACCTTGTTTAACGCTGTTTAAAGTTATCAGTGATAAGATCTCATTAACACCTTTGACGCTTTGAACCATATAAGCCATCTCAATTAATACAACAGGGCACCTGCAATGTATTCTCCCTACATGGCCCAAATGTGGGCTGAAGACAGCAAGCAAGGGACAAGAATAGTTAACCCAGAGCAGCAGTTTAAAGTGAGGTGGGATCATTGCTTTCCATGCAGTTGGCCCGTTTCAGACCTTGGCTCAGTACTGTGAGGCCAGATACTTCCAACAAGAACATGGGATGGGGCGAGTGGACAGCAGGGCCCTGTGCACAAGAGAGGAAGGTCTGGTTTGTGAGGAGTGGCATTCACTGATAGACAACAGTTCAGAACACACTAATGAGGGGTCACAACCAGCAGCTGAAAGACAGAAGGGAGGCAGGAAGGTTTTTTTGTTTTTTTAAAAATACAAATTTTCCCATTTTCCTTTGTGAGTTCACGGATTTGTGCATTGCACTGGTGCCACTCACTACTCAGACTTGTGCATTACACTCATAGCCAATCGCTGCTGGACTCACGTTCTTGTGCATACCTGAGTTAAGCACACAAAACTTCAACACCCACACTTTAGGCAGCATATAAGGGAACCAGATGCTATGGTGAAGGGCATGTTCCAAATGCCTAGATGGATGCCTGGGTGAGAACAGGACAAAGTTTTGCTGCCTGTCCTGAAGAGGAGCTGGCCTTTGACCACAGAAAGGGGTAACTCATGCCAGGAGAGACATACCAGAAACAAACTGCACCTGAATGTCTGACAGGCCAGACACCTGGGAAAAGGAAATAGCCACAGCTGATGCTCACATGCACACACATACACTGCCTCCTGCCATAAGGAACTGGCCCACACAATGTGCAAGGAATGTGAACTGCCCATCCAACGTCTGCTGTGCCCAGGGTTATTCCTGGCACGGGAGCAGTCAGTGCCCCCTGACTTGGTCAAATGAGAAACAGAGCAGCCACACTCTATATAGTGAGCCCAGGACAGCTAACTGAGTGGGCACAGTCCCACCCCAAGGGAAGGGGTGAAAATGAACAGCCTACATGACACTAGCACCTTCCACCCAAAGAGCCCTGTGAACTAGGCTTCTTGCTTATACTCATTCTATGTGTAGAGTCACACACTGCAAATCAGCTCAGCCCACACCACCCTGACTGATCTGGGGATGTGGGGAGCTCTTGTCCCAGTGAACTTTGAGTGGGAAAAGTGGAGGGAAACCAGCAAGCAAAGTTGGATACAGAGGAAGCAAGTCCAGCAGCAATCCAAGACTCACACCAGAAGGGAAGACGTTATGCTACTAACTCCGCACCTGAAAAGTCCTGCCTCCGGACAGCAAGCAGTGCAGGCAGCCAAGTGCGATGCGGGGGAAAGCTGCCCCAGCAGGGCCCCCACTTACACTCTGGACAGTTTGAATTTATTGCCAGCCTGGGGAAGGCAGAGTCCTTCCCTGGGAGAGAGATGAAGACAAAGCATTATTATCAGAACATTAAACTCATCCAAGCCATAAAATCAATCCAGAGAGTGGATGAACAGGGGAGGACAGGAGGATTCTGTGCAATAAGCACTCTTGCGAGTTGATCAGTCACCAGGATGATGGTGTTTTATGGATATCAGAGGTCAGCAGCCCACAGCCAGCATCTTTGCTAGCTCTCCCCCTCCCCACTATTCACTTTCAATAACTTGACTCATGAGATAATATTGACTTTAGCAGCCCTGCTCCTCACTCTGCTGCTCCCCTCACCTCCAAACTCAGTGTGAATACAGAGCTTAGCATATTTTTAGAAATCTCTCTCTAAGAAAGACTCTATGCAACCCTTTCCCCTGCAGCATCTGGGCCCTGAACAGAACTACACTGGGTTTAGGGACGCAGTGCCACAGCAAAACTGACCCCCCAGGGAGCACTGCTGGCCAGGGAAGGGGGGGGACAGGAAACACATTATCAATGGGGGCCAGGCCAATATCGTAGTAGTATTATGGTAACCCAGAGACTCCCGTTGAGACAGGGCCCCACTGTGCTAAGCACTGTACAGACACACAGGCTATGTCCACACTTCAAACATTACAGCGGTACAGCTGCTGTAGTGCTTCAGTGGAGACACTTACTACAGCAACAGGTGGGGTTCTCCAAACCAGGTGCCAGCTCACGCCAAAGTCTCCATTTCTCAATGGAATACTGACAAATACACCTGGAATCAGTCTGGCTCATCTGTGTGTTAGTATTGTTAAAATAAACATTAGAATTCAAAGAATGTGTTTAGATTTCATTGAATGCTTGTGAGTTGCTGCATGAATTAATCTCAGTTATAACATCCATATTCCACATTGCAAAGTAATATTTGAGTGGTTGTATTGTGAGCCTCAGTGACTGTGTAAGTCACCAGACAGGAGAGACATATTAACTAGTGTGACGTACTGACCTCCTGCAGAAGGTTTTATGTTCTGGCCAACAGGAAAGGTCCAGTGATACCAGATGGACTATTGTGGGATGTTAGAGAGGACAAAAGACGTTGGTTGTTCTGCCCTCCCTGGGAAGAGAGTCATACAAGAGAATTCCTCCCATTAGCTTAGTGTGCGACTCAGAGCAAAAGGAAGAAAGGGGATAAAAAACCTTTACAAGGAGGAACTGGATCTCCCTGCTGCTTAGACAAAGTTTTCTAGGCACAAGCAAGAGAACCCCAGTGCTTAGCCTGGGTTAGCCCTAAAGGACATGAAGCTTCTGTAATAAGCAAGCTCTTTTATTACTTTTAAAAACTTAAGATTGTAACTCATTTGTGTATGTTTCCCTGCTTGAACCTTGTAAAAAAATTCTTGTTTCTTTTTCTTACTTAACAAATCTTTATATAGTTTATTATAGGATTGGTTACAAACATTGACTTTGGTGTAAAATCTACGTGCAATTGACTTGGGGTAAGTGACTGGTCCTTTGGGACTGGGAGTAACCTGAATATTGGTGTGATTCTTTGTGTAAGGGACCATCTGTCATAAAGGTTTCATCACCTGGGTGGCGAGACAGAGTGGAGAGCCCAAGGGGACTGTCTGACTCCATGTTCAGGCTGTTCTAGTGCCTGAGGAGTTTAAACTTGATAATTGGTTGGTGAAATCTAAGTATAGAACTCACAACCAATTTGAGGTTTCTGCCCTGGTTCTTAACAGGCTGCCCCGCGTTGGTACTCATGCTCTTAGGTCACTGGAGGCAGCATTACAGCTAGGACAAAGAATTATTCCTTCATCTTAATGCTGTCTACACCAGGGATTAGATCAGTTTAACTATGTCGCTCAGGAGTGCAGATTTGTCACGCTTTTGAGATGCAGCTATGCTGATGTAACTTTGGAGTACAGACCAGCACATAGTGGCACATAGGCCCTGCCTTGGAGAGTTTACAATCTAAATAGACAAGACAGCTGAAGGGTGGGAAGAGAGGCACAGAGAGGTGGTGACTTGCCCAATGTCATCCAGCAGGTCGGTGGCAGAGCTAGGAATAGAACCCCAGGTCTCCAGTCTCCCAGGCCAGTGTTCTGCCAACGAGGCCCCTATCTGGAAGCCTGCCATGCAGTGGGAACCCAACAGCATCATGGGGAATTCAAGCCCATGCTCAGGAGATTCTGGCTTCCAACTTGGTTGATAGATTAATTCCCCTGCCCCACTAGCTTTCACTATGATAACTCTTTGAAGAGCCGGTTCGGGAGGAGAAAGAACCATGTCTCCCCTTCTTACTACACAAGCCCTCGCTGCCCAAAGGAGACAGCAGAGACTGGTAACACCAGGGCTGGCTTAAGCCTCCCACTCTGTACTGTATCTGTCTGGCAGGAGGCGCCAGCGAGAGAAGATATCTGCCTTCCCCTTCCTACTACTGACATTTGTGAGGAGAAGGGATTTTATTTTCCATATGAAACCCAAGGTTTGGGTAGCCTGAATTTACTGCTAGCCTGGGGAGGGCAGCACTTAACTCAGACACCTCTCCCGCTGCAGCTAACACCTGCCTCCAATCTAACCAGGGTGCTCAAGGCGGGGGAGTAGTGTAAAAAGAGTGCAGTACCTGAAGCTGGAACACAAGATAATCTGCATACTCTGGCACATGCACCGCACTGGAATACCAGGGGATGGGGTCTCTGCAAAAGAGAGAAATAACATGGGGGGAGATGAGCATTATATGAAGGTCATCAATTAATTGCAAGCGTGTGATGGACTTACTGGCCATGACAGGCGCTTTCTAGCTCAAGCACTTTGCAACCCTGCTGAACTGCATAGCTGATTTATACCTGTGCTGAGCCCACGAGCCCAGCAATTATCCTGTAAAATACAGAAGGGGAAACGTGCTCGCTTTGACGGAACACGATTTTGTTTCACTGGAAAGGCATAAACCTTCAATACAAGCACTTTGACACAAAGGTTTTGCTGGTCAATAACCCCCAGCCTGTTAAGACCTGTCTGGGCTGCAGCAACAGAGGCATTGCACCATGGAGCAGGGCAAGGACAGTCCCTCTGTATAATGCACCTGAAATAGCAAAATCCATCTGGGTTCCTCTTTACTAAGAAGATCATCAGTTAGGAGTAGTCATAGAAAACTAACTTGCCATGCAAGCCCACCCAGGGAATTAAAAGAACAAACTCCCCACACCTGCGTGCCTTACCTAGATCACCCCTCTGGGCAGTGTGTATGGTGGGGGTGGGAACTCGGAGTTCCCTCTCCCACTGACTCTGTGCACATGGAATGGACGGAGACGTAGGGAAATATGTGAAGCTTTGGAGTTTGGCTAAGCGACCTCCCTGAGGAGAGGGACATGAGAATGCAAATACCTGAAGGGCATGAATGAATACCAAGCAAGGAGAAGGATTAGTAACACCAAATCCACACATTTCATAGCCTAAGCACTTTACAGAGCTCTCTGATTAAAGCCCTGAGAGTGCTGATTATTTGGGGGTTACATATGGGGGAGAATGAGAAAGAAGAGGATGAAAGGAAAATATAGGCTGAGCCCCAAGAAAAAGCTTCCTAGAGACTGACAATTAGGATTGGACAGGTGAGGATGCATTTCACACTGTAGTGGCTACATCACTATGCTGGGACTTCATGTTTTTTAATTTCTCCAGGCAAATTAATACTGAGGCTGTGAGCAGACGGCAGAAGAGATCAAGAGACAAGGTGGGGGAGGGAAGTTTGAAGGGCTTGATGAGAATGCCAGGGGTGGGATTAACATCAACCAAAAAAGTGCTGAGACCAGCACGTTGCGTCGGGCTCCCTTCACACTGAAGTCTCCTGCCTCAACGGAAAGTCTGATCTTGACTATCAGCTGCCGAACCATGGATGCTGTTTCTCCAAAACCAGGTTAGCAACCTCCTCACAGACCTGGCTGCACAAAAGGCCCTTGTTCAGAGTCCTTATCTGGCTCAGGGTCGGGAGGAGCCGGAAAATCCTGCTGCTTAATATCCTGTACAGATGCCAGGAGCTGTCAGAGCTCTGCATTGGGTTCATTAGGGGCTGGCTGGCTGGCTGGAGCAGCACTTTGCTAGTGCAGGTAATGAGGGAAACATCTCAGCACAGGGCACGTTAAAAATAAAGCAGTAAAAACAAAAGCCCACTTACATTGGAGATTAATTTGGGTCCCCACACCACAGTGTCCCTGCTGGGGGAGAAGGAGCCTCTTCCCACTGGTGTGGGTATTTTAATAGGCAATGCTGCAGCCTGGCCATTTAGACTAGAGCTGTCTGGGTTATCAGGTCAGTAGTGGAGGGAATAGCCTCGGCTGCAGCACACACCCAGTGCAGGCAGCAGTTCCATAGGAACATGACCAAGGGAGCAGGTGAACCATGAAGCCAGCTAGCGGCAGAGCTGGGAACAGAATGCAGAAGCCCTGACTCAGGCTAGAGGCAGGGGGAAGGCACTGCCTTCAGAAGTGAAGTGTACTGGCTTTAGCTTTGCCCCATGAGAGCTGGAAGGGGGAAGGGTGCAGGGGGCAGCCTGTCATTCACTTCCCTCACTCCTATTCTTAGGCCCTTTCTTCTCCCATTTCCTTTGTTTCAATCTTCAATGAACAGGAAGAAAAGGGAAGGAGCCTTGACAAATCCGATCAAGGTTTAGACAAGCCAGGCCATGCACTAATGAGGGGCGGCGGAGGCAGCAGAGAAGAATGGCAGCCCCCCAAAATGCTTGGTGCACGGAGGGAGAGGGATTAATGCCAAACAGGGCAAAGAGCCACAAGGAGTAGGTCCCCAGTCTGCTAAAATAAATTGCTGCAGGGTCCCTTCTGGTCCTCCACCCTAAAATGGACTTTTCCCTTCCAATCCTTTAATTCTCAAGTGAAGCAGCCCAGGCCTCTGCCACTGTGTCCAGCTGAGCTTGGAATTTAGAGATCAAAGGTTCTCTGGAAACAAGAGGATTTGAAGAGGGGAATCTCCAAATGTGCATTAAAGGGACATCTCTTTGTAACAGACACAAAGGAAGATCCTTTGCTCACCAGGGTTTAGCTGGACAAAAAAGGAGGAATGTTCTTCCTTCTCCTTTTACAAGGCAGGTGCTGTGGGAGGCTAATGGGAATCTCAGGGGCTGTCCTGTGGACTTAGCACACCCCCTACCCAGTGATGAGGAGTGGTGCCTGGCAGTAAGGGACTGAGTAGAGTGCACCATTGAACAGAGAGGGAGCCAGCAATCCCAACGTCCTTCCCCATCTTACCTTCTACCCTAAACTCACTGGTCTGGGCAAGAAGAGACGGGGACAGCAGGAAACTGAGTAGCTTTAACTTCTCTACAAGAGCAAGAAAACCAACCTTTGGAGGATGCTGAGGTGACAGGGCAGCTGGCTTCTGTACTGCAGATCTGGTGGTAACACACTGGTTGAGGGGAAGCTTCCCCAGTTACAGGTTCATGGCTTCTGCGGGCAGAGAGCAGGGATAGCGCCAGTATCACAGAGACTTCTGATTCCAGCTAAGTTTGGGGTCATCCCATCTCACCATCACCTGGAAACCCAAAAGACAAAAAACTGCTAATAATTAATTATCAGGTTACAAAACAGAAGGAGAGTGGGAGAGAGATCGAGGCTAGGCCCCAGGAACTGCCCCAGAGGTGCAGTGGGTATAGGGTGACCAGATAGAAAGTGTGAAAAATCAGGGCGGGGTTGGGGGGTAATAGGAGCCTATATAAGAAAAAGCCCCATATATCAGGACTGTCCCTATAAAATCGGGACATCTGATCACCTAAGTGGGTGAGGTGGAAACTCCTCAGTGTGAAGACATCCTGCAGGAGGAGTCTAGGGACACATGCATAAAGGACCCTGCACCTTCACCAGCTCAGTCCCCTCTGAGTCCCAGCAAGGGGACAATCTCACTTGAGCAGACTCTCCAAATCTGGGCATTAGGCCACTACAGTAAATAGGCTGCAAATAGCGCTGCCCACACCCCCGAGTACTGCATCTGGATGAGGGTTTATCCATTCAGGATCCTTGTATCGCTGTTAAATCTGTCTTAACCAAACTCAACTGATCAGCAACATTTGGTCTCCCAACACTGCTAGTCTAAAGTTTGAGGCTGTAATGAAGCAGCATCGTCCTGGGGAGAGAGCTCTGGGGTGAAACCAGGACTCCTTGGTTCTGTTTCTTACTCTGCCACTGACTATGTGGCCTTGAGAGTATCCCTTCCCCTATCAGTGCATTAATTTCCCCATCTGTGACATGGGGATAAGGAAACTTCCACCTCAGTGAAGTGCTTTGATCTCTGCACAGTAAATGCTAAATGTACTATGTCAAACTGGACCAGAAACTTTGGGGATACCAGAGTGTGATTAAGACAGTTGTTGCCTGTTGTAAGTTCTCCCTAGTGCAGGACTCCCTGGCTTTTCCCTTCATACAGCATATGCATAAGGAATGGAAACAGCACTGAACAACATTTGTTTAACCACTTCTCTGCCCGGTGAGCATCCCAAATTAGCAACGTGAGCCCCAGTGACACACATGAGAAAGTCAAGAGTATCTACACAGGGACATTCCAATACTAAGCAGCAGTAGGGCGGGAAGTACATGGAAGGAGGAATCATAACATTCTTGGGATGAAGCAGACATTGGTTCCTTAAAAGGTCTTTTCCAGGGCCAGCTCCAGGCACCAGCGGGGGCGGCACATGCTAAGGGGCGGCATTCTGTCCATTCCTGGGGCGGCACAGTCCAGGCGGCTTTTTTTTTTTTTTTTTGTGGCTTGGGGAGGCAAAAATGATAGAGCCGGCCCTGGTCTTTTCCATCCAGTTTAGGTGACACCCACATCCCCCAGGCTGAGATCTCTTTCAGCAGTACCTCCCCCTCCCCCCAGGCTCCTAGGTCACACAGATTCACTTAGCTTGTATCTCTGGGACTAAGCAAGACAGAGGAGAGAGTGAGCTGCCACGTGCAAACACTGCAGTTACATACCAGTATGGATGGATGGACAGTGTGACGAAGGATGGCACATCTCTTCTCTCCAAGCCACAGTCAGACTGCTGCCTAGCCTCTTGATTGGAGACAAGTGCAGGGCTCTGACCCCAGCTGTATTCTATGGTTCCCAAGATTCAAAATCCCCTTTCAGGCTCCTTTAGCCTCCAATTTCTCACACTAGATTCACACAAAATGCATTCATACTGGGCCCCAAATTAGGGGAAAATATGTACTATTGTATTTCCCTTCTCTTGTGCATTTCACATGAGCACCTCATGGCAACACTTTGCAAAATTTACTCCTCACATGCCACTATGAGGTAGCAAAGTATCATCTCCATTTCACAGACAGGTGAAGTAATTTGCCCACAGCCACGCAAGAAATTTGCAGCACAGCCGTAAAGAGAACCCTGGAGTTCTGATTCCAAGTCATCGAGCCCCTTCCCCCCCCGCCCCCGTTCTAAGGGTTAGACACCATTCCCTCCTTCTAGAAGAGCAGGAGCTGTTGCAGGGCATGACTGAGATGCTTTGGCAGGGCTATGTGGGGAAGTTTTCACAGTCCCAGTAGGCCTGGGCCCAGCCAGTTGGCTATTACCCTGTCCAGGAGAGGCCCAGGATTCTCTGGCAGGTGCAGTAGAGAAGAGACACAGTACTTTTCTTTTTTTCTTATCATTGAGACTTTGGGCCCCATTGATGTCAGACGCTCTGGCAATGAGCCACAGAGGATACTGCCTTCAATCTCCAACCCAATTCTTAATCTTCCAAATGAGACTTCAGGGTGAACTAATGATTAATTAATAAAGTTGTGGTGTAGTTGTCACAACCCTGTTGTGAGGATTCCTGCTGGCAGAGCTGCAACAGTGAAGCCAGGAGGAGACAGGATGTTCCCATAGTTGAAATTTTTCCTACCCCTGCAGAAGAAGCACCTCCCACAAAGTTGAGGGGGAGTGTAGGAAGGGAAGGTGTCCATGCCAGCAGAGTTGATGCTGAGTTAATGAAGTTGGAAGCCTTGTCAGACTAATTTTTCTGCCCTTCAGGAGATGCAAGGCTTGACCACCTTCCCTGAGCAAACTCTAGGCTCATTACAGCGACCTACACAGAAAGAGCATCCCCTTCGTACCCTTTGGGGGCTCTTTACCAAGTGCAGAATTTATGTAAATATTTAACCTGGACAGGTTACATATTTTTACATTATAAATTCAGGTCTCATCTTCCCTACTTCTCCTAAAAGACTATGACCAACTGGAGAACTAACAGTACCACGCAAAAGAAACCAGACAGAGAGAAGCAGCTGTGGAACATTTAAAGATTGTTTTGGGCTTGTTTTTATCAACCCAAACAGTTGGAAAAGAAAGCTTTCAGTGGTGAAGAGTCAAACACCTCCCTCCCTCGTTTTCAGCTGAGAGCTGGAAAAAGCTCCTATTTCACCTCACTCAGCCCCTCATGGAGGCTTCCAGCAAAGACAGGGAAGACCACACTTGACATTGTTGCTGTTTCTAAGGGAAAGTGCAAATAGTTTTTTGGAGGGAATGGTGAGGAGGCTCTCAGGCCCCCTTCATCCATCATAAACCAACAAAGGCACAAACCTAGTCTCATACCAGCACATTTTGGAGGTCCCCTTTAACAAAATAAACCAAGTCTTAGGGCTTGTCTACACTTACATTTTATAGCGCTCTAACTTGCTGGCTCAGGGGGGTGAAAAATCACCCCCTGAGCGCAGCAAGTCTGAGCGCTTTAAAGCGCTGGTGTAGACAGGCGCAGCTCCCAGCGCTCGGAGCTAATCCCCTCATGGAGGTGGATTACCAGGAGTGCTGGGAGAGCTCTCTCCCAGCGCTCGCGGGCGACCACACTCGCACTTCAAAGCACTGCTGTGGGAGTGTTCCCGCGGCAGCACTTTGAAGTTTCCAGCGTAGACCTACCCTTAAAGAGCCCTAGCATGCTCCCAAGCCCCAAGATGGCTCCCTTCCATGAAACTCCATCTCCTCATCATGGAGAATAAATCTGGGAGAACAGACCAGTCTTACAGCATTCCAAAGTTCATCAAAGCCAGACATTGGCACCAGCCCTCTCCAGGAGGCTGTTGGTTCATATACCTTGAATGACTGCACGTTCCATACTACCAGATGGGGAGAGAGGCATCCCTCAGGTCACTAGTTGCCCAACTCTATGGACTAAAGCCAACACTATTCCCAGGTGAGGTTTGAGATCTGGCAGCACGTGCAGACCCCAGAGCTCAGGCGTAATGTGCACCTGCAATCTGCTCTAGCTGCAGCTTCCAACTTGTTTCAAGGTGCAGCCCCCTGCAAAGCATAGTCAAAAGCCTAACCTTAAAGGCCTGAATCACTCACACGAAGTCCAGGGTGACGTTATCTTGCCAAATGCTGGTGATAAGCAGCAAGCTTAGCAACTGCTACCACCTAGACAGCCAGGAGCAGATGGGCATTCAATAAGCATGGGCAACTAGAATCCTTCCCTTTGGAGTTGGAGAGGTGTCAAGCACAGCACAAAATACACACTCAGGGCAAGTGCACCAAGAGTGATGCTATAGTATGTAATAGTCCCACACCGTATCTAGCTAGTATGGAATCTCCAAAGCAGGTTAGAGAGGGCAGCAGACAGACAAGAAAGGGAGTTATAACAACTTGTGTTAATAGACTATGAAAGTCTCGCCTGCTTTCCCTCCCTCCTTGGAAACCACACCCCGCCCCCGCTTTTCCTGAATTGTCTTCTAGGGTCTTGTCTTATCTCAGACTGGAAGGTCCTCAGGACAGGAAGCCTCTCATACTAGGTTTGTAAAACAGATTGAATTAGCCTATTCAATGTCAGTTATAACTGCAGTTAGCGGGCTCTGCTAAAGGAGCGCATTCTTCTAGGTCACAGTTTTAGTAACTATCTCTGCAGCAAGAGAGCTATCAGTTAAGATAGAAACTTCAATTACCCACATGAATGGGGAAAGGGAGCCAGTGGGAATGGGACATGGAATAATTCAGATGAATAGATTAGATAATTGAAGGATCTTCCAGTGTAGTTAACATACAGTCAAGCATTCTTAAAACTACAATACCCACCTGCTGAAGTGAAAAAACAGATTGACAGAGCCAGACGAGTACCCAGAAGTCACCTCCTACAAGACAGGCCCAACAAAGAAAATAACAGAACACCACTAGCTGTCACCTTCAGCCCCCAACTAAAACCTCTCCAGCGCATCATCAGAGATCTACAACCTATCCTGAAAGATGATCCTTTACTCTCACAGATCTTGGGAGACAGACCTGTCCTCGCTTACAGACAACCCCCCAACCTAAAGCAAATACTCACCAGCAACCACACATCACTGAACAAAAACACTGACCCAGGAACCTATCCTTGTAACAAAGCCCGATGCCAACTCTGTCCACATATCTATTCAAGTGACATCATCATAGGGCCTAATCACATCAGCCATACCATCAGGGGCTCGTTCACCTGCACATCTACCAATGTGATATATGCCATCATGTGCCAGCAATGCCCCTCTGCCATGTACATTGGCCAAACCGGACAGTCTCTACGCAAAAG